ATTGTGTTGATGGAACAGGAACTGACACACAAGAGATGGATCATAACAATAAACATGCCTAGAGCAAGGATGTCTGATATCTGAGAGATTCCTTTTGGATATTTTCCTTTTGGATAGAAGCTCTGACCCACTATTTACACCCCTATCCCAAGCTCTCCCACATATTTTTAAATGACAACTTTCCAGATGTTATCTGTATGGAGACTGGCCAGATTTATAGGCAGGATCCCGCTCAACTCTAAGCCAAGCTAGTCTTTCAGCCTCACTGGAAATGAGATTAGGTCTGAGATTTGCACCAGGGAAAAAACCTGCCATTTCATGCCAGAAATGGTCACGGAGAATTTTTACAACACTGTTTATTTTTTTGTTAGCACTACTGTACAATATCAGTCTATTTTAGCATTATCATAACAGCACTTAAGTAGGGTAATAGGATAGATGAGACATGGCTGGAATCCACAATAAAACTGCGTGTAAACAGAGACAGGCAATTAATTCACCTCTACACCAGCTCAACACAGTTTTCCAACTCCAGTGTTTGTTCATCACAAGGTCAATGAGGCATTCTGCATGAGCTGTACAAATGTTGTTTCCAAGTTTTAAGAGATGCTAAAAATTCAGGAAATTTTTAAGATTTATTGTGGTAAATCCACAGTCTGATGTTGTATTTGTGCACTGCCCATCACACTCAATAAAAAACGGTTCCAAAATGAAATTTGGAGGGTAAATAATATATTTTCCTTTCCCAGTGTACTTTACTTCTCCCGCTTTCTTAACACTAAATAGACAGAAACAAAATCTTTATGAGTCTTCCTCTGTTTGAATATATCCCAGTTTTAATTTCCTCAAGTTGCATTATAAATTATGGTTTCTCAAAATATTCACTTCCTAAACAACAACAACTTTAAAACTCTCTAAAAATCTTGTAATAAAAGCAGCAGCATGCATATTTCTATATACAATGTGAGTTTACAGTATAACTTATTCTATATGGCAGCACAGTCTATATGAAAAGCTGACTTTAGTAAATCCCCATTACTTTTATGACTAACCTAAAATACACCATTATAACACTTAGACATATTATTTGGACAGCAACGAAGAACAAAATATTCCGAATGCCATAGATAAGTATGGTTAAGCACAGAAGAAAAAAAAATCATGTTAAAAGTAGGTGCTGTAAGATGACTTTTTGAGAAAGATAGGTTAAACTGAAGTTGCCATAATTGTATCACTCCAGATATTGAAAGATGGATTTCCCTCTGATTCAATGTCTGAAACAAGACATATTTTTATGGTCTGCTTTCCTTTCTGAAACAGGCTTCAATTTTTTTTTTTTTTAAATTGATAGTATAAGGCTTAATGGATTGAGAATAAGAAATACCATGGTTTCAAGTGACATATCATCATCTACACAACTAAAATCTATACTTCATCCCACAGAGAAGCTATGCATTGAAATAAGACATGGAGTACACAACCTCTAGCAACAGAAAGACAGTTATGTGAGAAGGAAACACTTTCTTGTTTTTTATTTCCTACTGTCCTGCATAGCACAACATTATTTGCAATCTAAAAGCAGTCGTAGAGCAGCCATAGAACACAGTGATTCAGAACATGAAGAATCTTTGCATCAAACACATGAATCTTTGCTGTACACATGCAACCCTGCCATTTCCATCATGATCCAATGAAAATGAGTGTAAAACTGAAGAGTTGGTAAGAAGTCCACTTTTTGCAACAACTCTCTTCTGTTTCTATGTGAAAGAATGATCTGATCCCTAATTGCTCCAATCATATATTTTTAAGTAAGAAATGTTTTCATTAAAGAAATAACTTTTATAATTAACAGAACTATTTTTCTATTTAAAATAATTTCCCCCAAAGAAGCAAACTAAAGAAAATCATGAAACTCTTAAGAAGCCAGCTAAATCACCAAAAAACAGAGAATGGTAATTTTTTTTCCCCTTTACAGTGAAAACTGCAGAAAAAAAAAGTTTAGCATCTTTTAATCAAGCTTGAAGTTTTAAGTGGACATTTTAAAATATCTCCACTTAAAGATTCCCCCTCACCTGAGGCAACTGGAGTCCAGGGTCAGAGCATGATTCTCAAGATGTGCTGGAACCCAGAAACTAGCCCCACAGGTGGAACCTCCTCACCAGAGATAGTTCTGGGAGACACAGTCAGACACAATGCTGTGCCCACGGAACACAGCACAGCATTTCTAAATGACAGTTTTGAAGTTTCAAGCCAACATTTCTCACCACTCCCAAATGCAATGACAAATATAAACAGCCTTATGGACCTTTATACGCAGAAGGGCTTCGGCCAGTGACAGGCAAACAACCATGAAGAAGCACCAGCTGTCCTTTCCTACATGCAACTGCTGTGTCCACACCCAGTGGAAAAGCACACAGCTACCCTATCCTACGTTCCCACTCAAAAATCAGTCTGCTATCACATGCCAGACTACGGGGGGGAAAAAAAAATCTTCATTTAGAACTGAAGAGATCTCAGCAGGACAGCCACAGTCGGTTGCAGGGCTGTGCTCTCCAGCCAAGACAGTAAGTTTCTTGGGAACACGTGTGGGCAGTGGTGCAAGAAGCAAGCACCAGCCCATGCCCCTGGGAAAGACAGCCAGCACCGGTTTCAGACTGCCTGGTACCTCAGCAGCAGCCTGCATGGTCCTGCTTGACTGGACCAGGCCTATTGTAGCAGTTAGCACAGCCCAACAGGAACAGGCATAGCAAAACACTTCAGCACAGAAGACAATATGCATTTCACAGGGTTTTACTTCAGGCTAGATCTGGTCCCATGATTTGTGTTTCCACAACAACTCAAGCACATCTTTGAGTTTAGATTCATTTTCAAGAAACCCAGCTGGCCCTCCATGAGGGATATGGAGATGAACAGCAAGTGGAACAACTGAAGAATGGGCATCAAAAGCCCACTCCTGACATGAACCGCGAAACTATAAATACACAACCACACCCATGAGCATCTGTGAGTGAAGGGAAAGAATTTTTTGCACTACTCTTGAAGATAATCTTCAGATGTCAGTAAATCCGCACAGTAGCTTGAACCACTCAATTGTTCTCAGTGACTTGGAACATCTCATTGAAACAATTTTAACTCAAAATCAGAAACTGGTAAATACCACTGTACCACTTCCAAATTGGAATTTACCAGTTTCTGATGATTGGGTTAGAATTATTTCAATGTGATTTTAGCAGTAGTGTTAGAATTAAACCAGTTACCAAATTTATTAAACAAGACTCCAACAGGACTGTTTATTACAAAAGATGATCTGCTTCTCTGAGATTTTCCCTTTCATAGGCATTGACAAATGGTGACTGAAACCAAGCATTTTCCAACTTACTGATGCAGTCCAGTGGGTACTTCAGATACTAATTTTTACCTTCACCTGACACTATGAAAAGAAAAAAAATCTCCACAGTTTAACTCTTCAGCTTCTATATGTTTGTTCTGTTCCACAATGAAAGTCATGCACAGTCTATTTGAAAGATAAAAAAAGGAATATTTTCAGCTAAATTAATCACCTCAAAATCTTGGGTTAATGACATTTATTTTTGTGGCACCCTTGCAGAGGTCTTACTGATGCTTTTCACTGACACAGTCTTTAACTTACTTATCATACTGCAATGAAAGGCTGAGCAAAGCTCACTGCTACCAGACAGACCTCTTCCCCTCACACAAGACCTCTGCTCCAATAGTGGGGCTGCAAGAGAGGTGGGAAGGCAAACTCCTACTTGCTACATTTCTCACTCATCCTACAAGACATGAGCAAAGTGGTCCACTCTCTTCAGCTGCACAAATGTAATCACAAATGTTTGGAATTTAGGACTTCACTAGACCTCTTGGATGACAGCAGTTCATGGAGACCATGCAGAAAAAGTGAGAGAAAAAGCCCCTTGCACAGAGCCTGAACACTATCACAGMACCCTCATGTCCTGGCTCTCAGTGTAGGCACACTACTCTTCCCCTCAGTTACTTTCTTGAAGAGATTTTTAAAAACGTTAAGGTATTATTCTTCAATGTTTGCAAGTAATTAAGGAAGACCAGCCTAAGAAGCAGGAACMAAGTTTTGCAAGTGAAGCATCTGCATTAAAATACATTAAGCTTTATAAGCAAATACTTCAGGCTGTGCATGCTTCTTAAAGCTCAAGAAACAATCTATTTCCCTAAGGAAACAAGAGCATCTGTATTGCATTGGCACGGGTGGGAAGACAAGACTCTGAAGCTATTGYTGATTTTCCCCTGGTTTAGCAAGAAATAGCCTTGAAGAAGCCTGATAACCGACTTCCTAATTGGGGCTTTGAGCTGACATTGCTTGCACCTGCCGCTTCRTGATTGTGGAGAGGACTGTGGGATTCATAGCCTGGATCTTTTTTCTCAGGGAATCTACCGCTGGGCTGAAGAGTCCACCTGACTCTACTGATCGGGATTTCATTCTGTTTATTTCTCCTCTTTCAGAGGGAAAAAAAAAAAAAAAAAAAAAGAAAAAAAAAATTAAAAAAAATAAAAAGGAGGTTTAACTTGTTATGATCTGTTAATTTTGTCCTCAAAAATCCTCCAAAAGTTATATAACCACTTTCACAATAGCATGCTAAAAATAAGAGCTGTTCAGCCAAATGCCACTGCAATTTTTTATAAGACCTGTGACTCCAATTCTGCAAGACCTGTGGAAGCGCAAATATTTTCTCAACTTTAGCAGAAAGTCAATCAGGAGCTCCTTGAGAGACAGACATGGGTTTATATAATCCCCAAGTTCAAGGTAAAAAAAAAACCGAGTGTATGCATACACACATGTATATTTCCAAGTAATGACTTAAAATAATGCTATTCGGTCTTGGAGCCGATCCCTCGTGGGGTTTCATAATCACAAACCATCATTAACCCAAAGCAAAGAAAGAAAGGTACAAAGGGGCACAGGTTTCAAGCACGAGTTGATTTTTTTTTTCTGGTTTGTCTTTCTTTTTTTTGGGAGGGAGCGTGGGGACGCGACGCACGGCGCTCCGAACCCTGGGGGACCTGGCCATGCAGGTAACTTCCCAGGGCGCTCGGAGCAAGGCGCCCACACCCCGGCGCCGCTGTCGCTGATTTCGTTCCGTGCCCCGCCAGCGCCCCGTGGTCGGGCGGGCGGCGGGGGCTCGGGACGCGCCGCTGCCCCGGGATCCCGGGGCGGGTCGGGTCGGGTCGGGTCGGGTCGGGGCGGGCTGAGGGGCGCGGTGCGGGACGGAGGCGCTACGGGCGACCCCGCGCTGTCACCGCCACCGCGGGCCCCGCCGCCCGTTCCCGGAGGGGCGGTAAGAGGGCAGGGGAGGAAGAGGAGGAAGGGAGCGAGCCGGCCGCAAGAGGAGCGGTACCGGGTCAGGGCGCCCCATACCTGCACGGAGGCGGGGAWGCGTCCGCAGCGCGCTCCGTCCGCCGGCTATAGATTCCAAGGGGCGATGAAGCGGGGTGGCGGTCGCCGCCCTCTGCCGCTGCCGGTGGTGCGAAGCCCTCGCCGGCCGCAGATGCCCATAGGCGCTCGGTGGGGGCCAGCGGTGCGCGGAAAGAGCGCGGCGGCTGTGCCGGTCCCGACGGCTGCGGGGAACGCGGCACTGGCTCCTCGCAGCCACTGCCCGAGGAGAGGATCAAGGCCCCGCTTTCGATTGGCTCCGGTGGCCAAACAGCTCACACCGGCCTGCCCGCCCGCCGCCTCCCGCCCGCCTCCCCTCCGTCGCCCCACGCGCTCCGCTCCCGGCGGCCCCGCTCCTCCCTGCCGCCCGCCGGATTCCCAACCTGACGGGGACAGCGAGCTCCACTCTGTCCCTCTCACACCCTCTCGCTCCCCACTTCGCCCCCCCCTTCCCTAAGACGACGTCCAATCCTGAGCCCTTTGTTTATGTAGGGACTTTCTCACCCCGCGTCTGGCAAAACACCCTCCTTCCCTTCGCATCTTCCTCGGTGAGCTGAAGGACCCGCAACTTTAAGCATTCGTGACATTTTGTGTCATGCTCAATATTCAGACACGTTTGTTCTCTGAACGTTTAAAAAAAAATATCCCTAGCTGGCAAAATTAAAAGCATGCAGTGCCTGATCACCTGAGGGCTAAGTCTGAGGTAGGACAAAGCATTCTTTGCCTGAGTTGAGTTTGCTTTTCTTACGCTGTTTGGACTCCTAGCCCCAGCTGGGTTAACTACACGTCAAATCTTGGCATGCACAGAAAATAGAATCAGGATGCGTCCTTAAATCAGGATGCCTCCTTGTCGTAAATCTCAGGTTATTCACTCTCGGCGACGGTGACTGTCATTCCTTGGTGACACCATCATCAACACCATCTTTGTGTCAGGACGACATTAGTGCTATGTGGACAAGTATTCTCCCTGCCGCAGATGTGTGTAGTATTAAGTCAAATCTTAGACCTGTCTTCTGGGCAAAATGGCAAGCCTTTGGTTTCAGCTTGACCCTCTATTTAAACCCTATACAGTTGAACCAGATAAATAGGTCCTGTGGGTTTTCTCAGTGCTGGGAGATGTTGTAATACTTCCAGTAAGCATGTTTTGCAAAATTGCTTATTAAAATTAGGGAGAACAAAATGAAGACTTGTAAGAGATGCACTYTTAATTAATGCAATGACCTGCATTTAACTGATGTGTTTAATTAAGCAGCATYTATGCCTGTTGATATTTCATATGCCATTAAAAGTCAATATTTATCCAAATTTGGTAGATTGAAGCTTTTGAAACAGAGAAGGGAGTTGCAGACACCAGCATGTATATTTTTAATGGTGACTTCCATAGCATTTTCACTTGACTCTGTATTTAATTAATTTTTTTCCCTACAAAATGGTATGTTATTTTTCATTCCCTAGGAAGCATGCATACTTTTGTCTCTTTGGGGCATACAGAAGTAGTTAACAATGGTTTTGTTTATATTTTGTACAGGCAAAAGTCAGAAAAATAAAAAAAAGAAATATTGAAAAATATATAAACCCAGACATATTTAGAAATATCCATACTTGGAGTATAATCCATTCCTTAATTTTTAAAGCTTTATTAGCAAAAACATCCCTCAATGACTTCAGTGAAGCTACACCTCTGGAATTTTTAGTTACACCCCAAGAATAACTTAAAGATCCTGTTTCTTTTTCATAATTTATTTTCTTTCACATATTGCCAATTTATTTTTCCCTGGAGAAAAGGAAATTGCTCATGTAGAGACCAAGCCATGGCCCATGAGACACAGCAGCCACTTCATCTCCATCAACCCCCCCTGACATTTCTGTCACAGGCATATCTCTTCCTGCATGCTCCTGATCCAAATGATTGGCATCTAAATCTATATCTACATCTATATCTAATCATCTCTCAGTATTCCCTAAGTCAGAAAGTATTGCCTTTCTTCACTCCAGCTTTCTCCTGGGAAGCATGCAGACTCCATTTTCAAGGCCTCTTTTCAGCCTCCTGTTTTTCTCCCTCAATTTGTGGTGGGTATTTGTGTCAGAGGAAGGGGTACAGCCCTCCAGCTGAGCATTGGCTGGAGCAAACACCATAGCAGCCTGTTCCCTTAGGCCTCCTTATAGCTACTAGTTTTCAATCATACTGGCTTACAATTTCAATGCAAATTTTATCTCCTGCTTTGTGTTATTTGGGGAAAAAAAAAAAGCTCTGAACTCACGACAGAAGTTTTCCTTTAATATATTCTTCATACTCCTCCTTATAGACCAAGAACTTCCTTTGGTATGGATGACTTGGGACTTCGTAAGATTTTGTGCTTCCAGAGTTGCTATTTCCCATTAGCTGTTTTCAACATTGTGTTGGTTTCCTTCTGTGTTTGGATTCCTTTACAGCACTGATAAGTTTCTCTCTAGTCTTGTTCAATTTAATAGCTTTTAACCTGTCTGATTTATTTATGTCTGCTTAAGTGCTTATTTAATCTTTTCCCTTATAACTATAATGACCTTCCACAGGTTACTATAATCCTAGAAGGTATGTAGGGAATTTAAAGATTTAAAAGTCTTTTGACTTCATAAATAATTTTTATTTTATCATTACATGCTTTATTTTTAAAACAGAAATGTTTCATTTTCCGTTTGATCAATGATTGTTTTTTACACATATTCCTTTCATATATATGGTAGTAAGAAAACTGAGATATTTTGGATTCTAAACAACTTTTTTTTACAGTTTGGTTAGTGAGAACTGAGAAGGATCTCGATCTGACATAGAAAATACACAGCATGTTTATTCTTTGGTGTGGTGTGCAACTAGAATGTTATGCTGTATAAAATACTTTAGTTAGTTATGTGGTTTTTGTTTTGATTTGAAAAACCGAAATAGTTACTTTCCATATATAGCATTTATCCAGCAATATCAGTGCAAAGCACATTTGTATTGACTCTGCTGCTTCTCTCCTCCCCTGTGAGTGCCTGAGTTCCATTGAATGCTGTACTTAAACCAACAGACTAACCTTTTAATGTCCCCTGGCAAATACAGAGCCATTAATTCAGAAAGATATTGAAGCCTATACCTACTTTTAATCTACAGATTTAATGATTACATTCTACTTCTGATATAACTACACTTTAGGAATGACTGCAATCCATGGCTTTTGTCTCACACTGAGACAAAACACAAACAACTGGTGCCCGTCTCCTTCACAGCAAGGACCATATCTTTGTCATCACCACTATAGAAACTGTTCTGCTTTGCAGCCCTGAGCACAGAGCTTGTCTTGATCTGGGAACACATCTGGCAGGAGTGCCTGCAGAGCATGAAGGGCTGTAGCACAGCCCCAGAGCCAGAGGAGGCTTGAAAGATGGTACAGTCACATACCCAAGCCTCATTCCTGCCCTGAGATACGATCCTAGAGTTACATAAGTCAAAAAAGAAGAAACCTGAGAGATCTGGTGGTTCCAACTGGTGATTATATGAATTATTCCTATTTGTAAATTGACATAAGTGCACTGAATGATCAAACTGATCATTTGTGTCAGTTTACGCACATATCCTCCTCTCTGAGGCTCTGAGTAAGCGGTCAAGCTCTGCAGCCAGGAGCTGGCTCAGTACTCCCCTGGGAGATTGGTGTCCTGAGACACCTCACTGTCAAAGGGATGGAATATGTTTCTGATTCAGGTAAAGTCCCACAAACTGCTTTCACTGCCTTACAAATACCCCTTTGTTTCTGCATGGTTTCTGCCTCTCAACTAACCTGCATTGTCTTGTTCTAGACCTAACTCACCTTCATCCAAAAATTTCACTGCAAGCTCTTTGATTTACTGACCTTGCTTTTGATTTGCTCTTTGGTTTGAGGCAGACCTCATCTCTCCGTTTTTCTGAGTGCATTTCCGTCTGCAGCTTTGGGCTGGTCTGTCCTTGGTGACTGACTCCTGGTCTTGAACCTCCTCAGCCTCAGTGGCTGGACCTGCCCCAGCTACACTCAGCACAAATATTCCACTTGTGGCTCCTTAATAACTTCCGTTCAAAGCCACCTTTCTGAATGCGAATTTTAAAACATGATATCCCACTGTTGACGCAGAATGTTTGGCACGGAGCTTATCGCCATGATAATTCAGCCGCCGGTGGAACAGGTCCTGTGGGCAACGTTGGGTCATGGCTTAGGAGAAGATGCAGGAATGCAGGAGAATGTCGCGTCCCTTTAAGATTAATCATACTTGTCAAGGTCTTCGACGGCTCATACTGTTTTCGCAGACAATTAGGCACCTAAATGCCTTTGGACATAGTGCACCTGTTTTTTAATTTGGAGTTCTTTCTAACATTGTGGATTCAAGCCAGGAAAGCACTCTAAGCAGCGGTAATTTTGATCCTGGTTTTTTTTCAGTGCTATATCTTTGCTATGTGAAAAACAACTCGAAAATATGTCTCTACCTAGACAGGGCAACATCCCTTCCCAGAACATGAATAAATACTTCATACAACCCTGGATAATTGAGAATTGTTTCTCAATTAACATGRAGAAATGTATTCCTGGCAAAAATGCCATCTCTGTATTTCACAGTCATCATGATACATTTTCAGTATTGCCTTATTCTGATTTCAAATATAAATTATTCTCTGCACACTTCTAGAATGAAAAGGAAGTTCTATCACCTTTCCTTACCTTTAGTTTCTTTCACTTGATTCCCATTCGAAATTTCATCTGAGTTATCCAGATGCCCTGAGCCCATCCGTATGCTACAGGAGCCTGGGCTTTAGGTGGTTGAAAGACGTTTATATTTTGGGTTTAACTTCTCTGAAGTTTTTCATTCCCCTTCTCTAAATTAACTTTAGACACTCTTTTACCCTGTTTTGATGACGCTCTATTGGTTTTAGAGCAGACAATCCTGCCGAAATCTGGGATGAAATGAATGAATGAGAAAGCCAGTTAATCTCCACTCCATCTCTGTTTTCTCTGGTTGGATTGTGGTATTATCTAGGCAAAGAAGAGAGATGAGTAGCAGAGAGCAGAAGTCCATTTGAGATGAGTTCTCTTCCTTCTTCACTATCACGAGGGGCTGTGGGGCCATCTGGATCTCTAGGGAAAATCACTAAATAGGACCAGATAACCTCAAAATATTTGAGCCAGACCAGCCCTGTCATGTATGATTCACTTGCTGTATAATGTCTAATAAAGGCAATATGTGTGGAACCAGGAAGGCAGCCAATAGAGC